GTCAGTATATATAGATTGGCTGTTGTCAGTGTATATAGATTGGCTGTAGTCTGTGTATATAGATTGGCTGTAGTCAGTGTATATAGATAGGCTGCAGTCAGTGTATATAGATAGGCTATAGTCAGTGTATATAGATAGGCTGTAGTCAGTGTATATAGATAGGCTGTAGTCAGTGTATATAGATAGGCTGTAGTATATCTGTAACCTTCCTAGTTTGTACATGTAACATTAGGTATTTCCTTTGTAAGTTGTAAGATGGAGTCCATTATTTATAACAAATTTCAAGGATACGCTGTTTAAGCCCAATTTAACTCTGATTTATTTCTCAAAGATCATTAGAAATTGAATAAACCTTCAATACCTTCCATGTTAGCACTCACCAACCATATAATTGTAATTGCACTTTAATTTATGTTTTTTTGCCTTTACTACTAATCCCATGTGTGTTCGTTGGCCATTGGTTTGTTATAAACAGCCCAGTTATAATGCTTTACCGCCTTCAAGAAGCTTCTCCAGACATGATAATCGCATTCCTATGAACGTTCCAACAACGGTAATTACACTCACAGTCTTATACATCAACAAACAAGAGTTCTGGGTCTGAGTTCTGTGTAAAAACCACCAAAGTATGAAATAGGAAAATAGTTACACAACATACATTTTAAAGTGTTAGAATATTACTAGATGTATTATCTGGTAATAGCCTAATTAAAATTAGCAAGCATGACAAAATGTTGCAAAATAAACATTATACTACCATTAGTTTGTTTTATATAACTATCATTGTATTGCCATAGCATGCCATCAGTATTGTCTGCATCTTACCATATTTAGGAAATGTGAATTCCAAATATACAACCATTTCCAATATGGCACATATTTTGAAGTTCATAGAGAAAGTTCTAATAATTTTTTTATAATTTTACTAAATTATCCTACTAAGTGTTTTGATCAGGAAGATGTTTTATATATGGTTAATACAAGGATACTGCAAAATATACACTCAGGCAATACATGTTTGCATTGACCTCCACTGCACGTCTGTCAATACTACTGTACTGTCTTCATGCATACTTTGTGGCATTCTTGCAATAACTGCTTATTATATAAAATTAACAAGTTTATTTCAAGATATTGCATAGTTACATGATCGGGAGATAACATCATACTTGTGTGTTCATGTATGGGCAAAGCTTCAAGAACAATATTACATGTATGTATGTATGTAGTGATCAATAAAACTTTTAATCCACTGCATACTGGTACTGTGTTCTATCAAGTATTGCCCCAAACACTAAATTCAAGTTAAAACATTGACCAATCAAATTGCTAAATCACAGGACTATATGTTTGTTTTTTGAGTCTGACTCATTTTCTCCAAGTCAAATCTCTTTGTTCGTACTTTTATATTGATTATGTGACAAAATTGCAACAAGAATCAAGCTTTACCATGCTAAGAGGAAACCACAAAATCTGGTTTTGAATTCAGAGCTTATGATGTGACAGACACACTGTGTATTTAGATATCTGGAACATGATGTCAGTCATTGCTTTCTAGGCTATATGATGTTTTGAGTTAGATCATGAAAATTCATCAGAATTCTTGTGAGGTCACTTGCCACAATTTGAGTTGTTTCTCTGGTATGCATTTCATAATGTAGTGTTAGCAGGATGCTGTATGCTGTCCTAAAAACTATCAATAGATTGTTTAGTCCGATTTTAAATCAAATAGAACACTCCTATTTTGACTTCTCTGGATAAACTCTCCTGCATGATAAATAGAGGATCTCTAATGTGTGTGATATCGAATTTATGTAGTAATTTACATATGTTCTTAAGGTGAAGAATATATGAAAATTGCTACGTGAATCAATAAATCTGATATCACTCATTGGGGACCCTATTTATCACATGCATTCATTTTGCAGCTTTTTATCGACGTAAATACATCGTAATCGTTAACTTTGTTCTGTATACATTTGCATATTGAATCAATGTTCTTTGAACACAGTTCACCAACAATTTATAGCCACTACTCAACAGTTTTGCTGATTTGGGGAAATCAATACATTTATGGTTTGTTACATTGGAAACATTTTACAAACTTTATCTGCATATTTTTACACATCAGGGACACTAATGCCATGGGTTGCCATGTGTTGCTAAGTTGAGGTTGGGAAATAAGAAATGACAATGTCTGCATATGCGACTTCAAAAATGCACATTAGTGAATTGTTGAAATTACCGGTATATAGCAAAAACATTAATATTGAACATATTTCAAATAGCTATTTTAAAAACAAAAACAGTAAATAATTGTAAAGTTGTCGAAAAAGTGATGTTTTAGTATGTTTGAAAATTATGTCACAATTATAATAAATAATCAATTCACGCATCATAAATTCCTATCTTATTTGAAAGGTTTTATAATAAATTAATCCAATTGTGGCCGTCAGAACTCTTGTTTATTATCAGTGTAAGCTCACTATACTATT